GTCATGATACACATCTGTAAATCCGGAAGTGAGGAGACAGAAACAGAACTGAACTCAAAGCCAATCTGGGTTATATTGATTGAAGCCAGCCCAGAGATGATTACATCTTCTCTCAAATGCCAAAGAATTAAAAATTTAAAAACAGCACATCGATACAAACATCTGATGAGTTCCTGTTATTTCAAGTGTGATCGTGATATCATTATACCAGAAATTCTTCCTGCTTTTAGGAAATGCATCCCTGAGTTTTTAAGAGAGAAAAGACCACTTCTAAAATACACTTTAAAATAATGTAGCAGGCTGGGCATGATGGTGCATACCTTTGATCCCAGAACTCTGGAGGTAGAGGCAGGTAGATTTCTGTGAGTTGAAAGGCCAATCTATTCTGGATAGGGAGTTTCAGGCCAGCCAGAGCTGCATAGTGAGGCTGTCTAATAAGTAAAGCAGCAGCGTGTGGTAGGGAGATGGTAGGGTTGCCATGTGGCTTTGGCCTACAAAAGCAGCACTCTGGCCTCATACACAGAGTTAAAGCAAGCATGGCAAACATGCTCTAACTTTTGAAGTTGGGTGCTGACTTCACATTTGTTTACTGTATGGTCCTTTCAATTTTCCATGTTTTTGAAAATGTAATAAAAACTTGGGGGTGGATTCTTCCCAAAACTTTCCCCAAGTCATCTAAAATGGGGCATGGTGGTACACATCTGTAATTCCAGCACACTCACACAAGTGACTTATGAAGAGGACTGTGAGAATTCAAGGCCAGCCTGGGCTACAGTGAGACCCTGTCTCAGAAAAAAACAAAGAAAAGAAAAAAGGAGGGAAAAAAAGGTAGATAGCAAGATTTACCTTAACTTTTAAAATACCTAGACTATATCTAAAGAAATGGTTGGGGCGGGGGAGGGGGTGGCCAGAGAGTTGGCTCACTGCTTATGAGTACTTGTTGCTCTTTCGAAGGACCCAGGTTTGATTCCCAGCACCCACAGAATGGTTTACAACCATCTGTAACTCCAGTCCACAGGATCTAGCGCCCTCTTATGACCAACCACACACCAACAGGCACTAACCACACACATGGTCCACATCCACACATGCAGGCAAAATACTCACATAAAATAAAATAACATGAACCTAATAAAAATAGTTTTAAAGTCATTTGCTTTTCAAAAATTGGCCTATTCACTATCCTCTTTGGGCACAGTAAAACCTATATTAATTATTGCAAATAATAGTCTACTGCTAGAACAAGTCTAATATAAATCTCAAAAATAACACCAATAGCCAGCACAAGATTTATAGGTGTAAACATCTGGTTTTTATAACAAATAACAAAGTTAACAGCAATAAAAACAAATCATTTAGTACAGCATATAATGTGTTATATTAAATTTACACAATGATATATATAAAAACACATACTGCTTATATCATACAGTAATCCAACAACAGGAATATCAAAACAGGAATCCAAACAACTACTACTCATGCATAGAACATGCATATATTGGTATTTTAAAAAGGCTATTTTACACAATACTGTTTACCAAAAACCTCTTAAAAAATTTAAAGCCCTTCTAAATAAGTCAGTGGCCCAATGAGGATTGGAATGCACTGCTGTTTAGGCCAGAGCTTAGGTGGCACAGTGCTCGGTGAGCAGTTTTGGGCTTGGAGTCATGCCCATGAGGGGTAAATGTCTTTGCACCAAAGGACCAACATTTTATCTCCAAGGCAAGCCCTCTAAGGGACAAACGGTTGTGTTGGCGACAAGTTAGAAGCAGAAAGGCATCAAAAACTGCTGGATATATGGCCCAAGAGGGTTACTGTAACAAAGGCTGGGGCACTGCATGTGGCAAAGGTTTTTGTGAATCCCTTTAAGGTACTGTCAGTTTCTCTATCCTGGTTGCCACCTCCAGATCTACAGTCCGCTCTACAAGTTCTAAATCCTACAGTAAAAAGCGTACTTCTGAGAAGAAAACGGGATGAGGAGACCTCTGAGAAGTGTTGAATATTTTTTAAAAAATTTAGCAAAAGCAATGACTTTTTTTTTTTTTAACCTATACTATGCAATTTTATGTAATGCCCCTCAACTGGAAAGCCCTTTCAGGGACACAGCCCTAAAGAATCAAGGAGCGAGTTCATGTCTTAAAAAATCCCACCCACGGACCTTGGAAACAAAAGGTCTCATCCAAATAAAACCTGAACATCAAAAACCTGTACTTTGCCAGACGCTCGGACAATAGAAGCCCAAAAAACCAGCTGATAATCAAAATTCATTCACTATCACCACCATTAAGACCTCAATATTTACTTCTAACTAAGCGATACATCCTTCACCTTCCGTTAAAGGCACTAAGCGTCCATACATGACGATGAGACAGAATTTATCTTGGGCTTATCCTAATAAAAGGTAAGTATCCCATTGAAGTCGGACACAAATATTAAGACCCCACCTTTTTTTTTTTCTTTCTTTCTTTTCTTTTGTTTTCAGAGACTTGGGGGTTTGGGGAGGGGGGTAGGAATGTAAGACACTCGCTCCACCAGCTACTCAGACGGTCGTCATCAGTTTCAAGGAGCCAGACCGGAAGCGGAGGATCTTCTTCTTGAGGTTATGCGAAGCCTTGATCTTGACAAAGGTCTTCCTGGGGCAGGCGTGCAGCTCTGGGGCCGTGACCGTCTGCAGGGGGAGGGTCTGGACGAACTGCGACCAGATCAGACCCCCGCTCTCCTCGGAGTCGCTGGTGGTGGTGCTCTCGCCCACGAACTCGCCCTCGCTCACGCTCGACTCGCTGTCGCCGAAGCAGTTGGTGGTGTAGTTGCTCTGCTCGTCCTCGCTCGTGTCCACCACCGTGGAGTGGAAGAGCGACTCGCACTCGGCCGAGTACTCGGAGTCGCTGGCCACGTAGGCGTAGGGGCTGGCGTAGGGCAGCGCCACGGCCACCGGGTAGGCGCCCGCGGGCTCCCGCCGGCCCCGCC